AAAAGTGTGCTGAATGGGGCGGCGGTGTCATGCGGACGCTGCCGCTGGGGCCTTCGGTGGAGCTCCCTATGGGGTCACGAACCGTGTGAGGGGTGTGCCAAAATGGAGCGACGATGCCATGTGGACGCTCCCGCTGGGGCCTTCGGCGGAGCTCCCTGTGGGGCCACGAACCGTGTGAGGGGTGTGCCAAACTGGGGCGGTAATGCCATGCGGACGCTCCTGCTCAAGCCTTCGGTGGAGCTCCCTATGGGGCCACGAACCGTGCGAGGGGCGTGCCAAAATGGGGCGGCGGTGCCATGCGGACGCTCCCGCTGGGGCCTTCGGTGGAGCTCCCTGAGGGGCCACGAACCGTGTGAAAGGTGTGCCAAAATTGGGCGACGGTGCCATGCTGCCGCTCCCGCTGGGCCCTCGGTGGAACTCCCTATGGGGTCACGAACCCTGTGAGCGGTGTGCCAGAATGGATCGGGCATGCTGATAGCAGAGGCAAGGGATGGGAGGAGGGAGGAGGGGGAGGGACAGCGGGAGGTGAGGTGAGGTGACGCGGGGCGCTGTCTCTTCAAAACGAGGACCCAACACCACAGGATGGTTGGGAATAAAAGAACATCGTCACCAGACTATGTTTAACTAGTCTTCGCTATACCTCCGGTACGTAGAGGGATACGCCCGACATAATATCAAGGCCGGGGGTAGAGGGGGGTCACGCGACAAGGTTCCTCAACGCGTGTTGCATGTTGTTCCTTTCGCGGGAGGGCGAGGACGAAGGGATGGGAAAAGCGGGGAGGAGGAGAAGGAGGAGGATGAGGAGGAGGAGGAGAAGAGCCCTGTAAGAATTGCGCGAGAAATTCTGGGCTGACACATGGGTTCCCGAGGTGTCCCAGGAGGCAGAGGTGGGGGGGGGGGGGGGGGGCGAGAAGGAAGCGGAGGATGGAGGAGGGGAAGGGGACGGGAGGATGGTCGTCGTCGTCGAACGGCGGTGTGGCTGAGGTGGGGACGGTGGAGGGAGGAGCGATGACATAGAATGAGGGCTGGAGACGCTGAATCTGGAAGGGTCCGAAGGCTGCTAGGGTGACAAGGGGGGACGAGATGGAGGAGGGAGGAGGATCATGAGAGAGAGAGAGAGAAAGAGAAGCAGAGAGGGAGTCGAGGGGGGGTAAGGTACCCTCCTCCAGGAACGTGAGGATGAGCACCCCTGGAGGGACAAGAGGTGTGGCAGGAAAGGAGGGTTTCACCCAGGCCTGGGGGGGGGGAGACCGATTTCCTCCTCCTCTCCTCCTGTTCCTCCTGTCCCTCCCTTTCGTGTCCAGGATCTGCGGGCATGAAGAATGAACAACACCTAATGATCGGCGCAGGAAAGCATGAGGGCTTAGGTTCGGAGCGGCACGCCTGGAGGCCAAGAGACATGGCTTCGCCCACCAGCGGAGGGGGTCCTTCCCGAGCTCATCCTTCCAAACATTCGGCTCCTCGTCGTCATGCTGCTTCAAGCAAGCTGCATAGCAGGAGTTCAAGGACGGAGTGCACCAAGCAAGCAGGGCAGGGCACAACGACAAGCAGCAGCTCAGGAAGCCGGCAAAGGGACAGGCCACCGGGCACTTCCAAACTGCCTGGGCAGCAACTGGCTGCAAAACGATTCCGTCAAGTAGCAGGAACTCTTACATGTCTTCAGCGGGAGGGAGGAAAGCTTCTCGTGCTCCTGCGCTACCTCTCTCCTGCTCCTCCTGTTCCTCCTTTTCTTCCTCCTCCTCCTTCGCTCCTCGCCCTGAGCCTCGCATCCCATCCTCTCTCCCTCCTCCCCCTGCTCCTCCGCCCTCTCCCCCTCGCTCTCCCCCGACTCCGGCTCCTCTGGCCCCGCCGCCGCTCCTCGGGCATGCGCCAGGCCACCGGCGCATCGGCGACGGGGCGCAGGTGACGAGCGGGTGCCGCGAGCAGACGGGAGGGGGGGGGGGGGGGCGGGGATGGGGAGGGCAGAGCGCGCGCGGAGAGGCGGAGCAGGGGGAACTTCCCCCCTTCAAGGGGGGGGGGCAGGGGGGCTTCCCCCCCCTCCTTCAAGGGGGGGGGGGCAAGGGGGAACTTCCCCCTTTCAGGGGAGCAGGGGGAACTTCCCCTCCCCCTCCTTCAAGGGGGGGGGGGGGGCAAGGGCACGGCTCGCCACCGCCGCCCTGGCGCCCCCTCCTCTCCGGCGCCTCCGCTCGAACATCGGGGGCGCGCGGGCACGGCTCGGCGCTCCGTGGGCTCGGCGCGCGGTCGCCAGATCCACGGATCGGGGGAGGTGCCATCCCCAGAATGCGGCCTGTGCCGCCTCGCGCTCGGCGGCGGAAATCCGCGATTTCCCACGGAAACGGGACCCGTCGCTGATACACGCCGACGCCCCCGTGATTCATGTTTGCGATCGTCTGATCAGATTCTGCCACACCCCGGGTCCGGTCGCGTCCCCGGCTTCTCTCCTCCTGCGCCATCAGTAGGCCCCTCCCTTCACCTCCCCCTCCCGTCCACTTCCAGCCCCCGACGACACCCCGGACGTGGCCTGAATCGACGAACGCTGCACGAACCACACGAAGACCACTGACGTGACACCCGATCGCAACGAGCTCATGTGGACCATCCGCTGGCGACGGTGCGCTCTTGGCATGCACATGTATTGATCCATGTCTGGTTCCAAACGAAACACCCACCACCATCATTGACCAGGGCCGTCCTGGTACCTGGAATGCTACGTCTAGCCTCCGAGGCTCGGCCAGGGAGGTCTACACGCCATCCTATGGCCCACGGTGGTGGTGGCCCACTGGATTCAAGAATGTGGACGTCTCATTCCCGAGTTCGGTGACAACTCATGGGAGCATCCCGTACCGTTTGCCGGCTCTTGCGAATCGACGCTAATCGACGCTAGTCGACGCGAATCGACGCTAAATCGATGCTAAATCGACGCTAATCGACGCTAGCCGACGCTAAATCGGCACATCTCATCGACTCCCAGACGCTGATCGACGCTTATCGACGCTAAAGACGGAATTGAGAGGGTACGCCAGGCTCCCGTGATTTGCTACCGAACCCAAGTCAGGCTCTGCCGATCACTTGTTTGTAAAGTACGTCGCCGGCCTTCCTCGGGATTCCCCAGTCTTGATTCACTTTAAGGGCCTTCCCACGGGTGTCCCCAGTCTTCTTTCCATACAGAGCGTTGCGCAAGGTTGCTAGCTTAGTGAAGCTTCCAAAGGAGGCACAAATAATGGTTGTTTCGCATCGTGTCCGTACAACAACGTTCGCTGGGATTGCTCGGTCGTGCTTCCAGACAAGGCGTTGCCCGAGGTTGCTTGGTTCCCGCGGCTTGCTCGGCCTTGTGTCCTTACAGGGCCCCTCACGGGTTGCCTGGGTTGCCCAGGTTGTCCGGCTCCTTGGTCTCGGTGGCTCTGCTCCCTGGCCCTGGTCCCGTGTTTCTTGGGTTCCTTGGGCTCGGTACCCATCGGTCGGAAGAAGTAGGTAGAAACATGAAGTAGGAAGGCGTTGGAAATAGATTGGGTTTCCGCACGCCTCCTGAAGAGGAAGGAAGAGGGAAAACCACGCGACTCTTGAAGTAGGAAGGCGCTGAAAGTAGATTGGAATCTGGGAACCCAAAAATACCTACTTTCAACGACCGATGGGTATTGCTGACATGTTTCCCCAAATAGGGTCTGCCCAGACGGTCTTCCCTTCCTCGATGGTGAAGCGCCGGCGGGCGCTGGGCGCCGTCGCCGCGGCCTTCCTCGGGGTTCCCCAGCCTTCTCTGTCCTTACCGAGGCCTGCCTCGGGGGTTCCCCGAGCTTGTTTCCGAAACCGGGAAAGCCTCGGGTTCCCTGGTGCGTATGGTGCCTCGCCGTCCTCTCTCGGGCTCCTCGGTCTTGTATTCCTCGGGTTCCCTGGTCTTGTTCCTTGCTCGGGTTCCTCGGGTTCCCCGGTCTTGTTCCTCGGGTTTCCCAGACTTGTTCCTTGCTTGGGTTCCTCGGGTTCCCCGCTGGTTCCTCAGCTTCCTTAGCACTGCAAAGCAACGCCAAGCGACGCCAAGCAACACCAAGCAATGCAAGTCCGTGCAAAACAATGCCGCACAATGCCAAACAGTCTGGCAGTCCCAAGCAATACCAAGCAATGCCAAGCAACGCGCATTGCAAAGCCATGCAAAGCCATGCAGAGCCATGCAAAGCAATGCGAACCCATGCAAAGCAATGCGGTGCAAAAAGCAAAGCAAAGCAGTGCACGTCAGCGCAAGACAGTGCAGAGCAGTGCCAGATAATGTCAAGCAGTGCAGAGCAAAGCCAAGCAGTGCGCCCCTGCAATGCGCCCTGTTCCAGCGAGCGGCTGGAAAGTTTATACCCCTACGGTGCCACCGTAAGGGTATAAACTTTCCAGCCGCCCTGGGGCAGGCGCCCCCGACAGCGAAACAGTTTATTTCAGACCGTTCTTCGCCCGTTAACACTCCGCCGAGCCTCTGCAGAGAGTCGCTCCCGGGCGGGCCCGGCGCAGCTGTGTGCTTCCGCCAGGCCAGCCTCCGCTGGCCCTCCCGCCGAAGGCGAGGCCTTTTCCTCGGCGGCGAGCGCAGCGGGGCAGTGAGAGGGAGAAGGCCCTCTCTCAGAAGGCGGGCGGGACTCCTCGGAAGCCCCCCGCGCCCTCTGAGGAGTCTTGTGCTGCGTCCTCGGGGGATGAGGCTCGGAACACTCCTCAGAAGGCCGGGGGACTTCCGCGCCGCCCCTCCTCCTCCTCCTCCTCCTCCCTCCTCCTCCTCCTCCTCTTCTTCCTCCTCCTCCTCCTCCTCCTCATCCTCCACCTCCTCCTCCGCCTCCTTCCCCCCTCCAACTTATGGTGGCCCGCCCCTTCTCGCTTCCCACCCCTCGCTCGCCGCGGACTCCCCGGAGCGCGCCGTGCGGACGCCCCCTCTCCGCGGAGAGCTTGCGCCGTCGCGGCCGCAAGGCTGCCAACCCCTCGCTCGGCCGCGGCCCGCATCCCCCGTGGCTGTGGTGCGGGCCGCCGCGGGCGGCCTGCCCGTCGAGGTGCAGCTCGTGCCGCGACGACGGGGGGACGTAGGGCGCCTCCTGCCGGGGGAGGGGCACCCAGAGAGTGCGGCGACGGGCCCCCTTTGTCCACCACAGTCACCATAGGCAGGAGGGGGAGGAGGAGGAGGAGGGGGAGGAGGAGGAGGGGGAGGAGGAGGAGGAGGAGGAGGAGGAGGAGAAACACCTCCTCATCCCCCCTTCTCCCCCATCCTATATATGGTAGTGGTTGTGAAATTTGCCCATCATGCAGGCGGGAAGGGCACTCGGACGGCACGTGCACAGAATGCACCGGCATGGAGCACACCCTTCCCTGTCCCTGTGGTTGGCGTCACTCTGTCTCGGTGCCAAACTCGAGGATTCCCGCGGCTTCTGAAGGTGCACCCGTGAAGGTGCCATCGCCTTAGGTTGACGTACATCGGCAGATGAAGGCAAACATGGCACGAAGAACTGCGTCATGGCGTCGACGCTCGCATGCCCCGAGGGGGGGCGACCAGAAGAGCCCGCAGTGAAGCCTCCCGTCCAGCGCACCCCTACTTTCTACGCTACGATTTGTTCGATCAAGGGATGGGCATCAAGTGCAAGGCGAGCACGGCACTTCGAAGCGTGGTGGCGGAGATGCTGCCATGTCACGTGTGGGGGCGAAGAGTAACTAGAAAATAGATCTCCGCCGTAAACGGGTCGGCGGTTGGGGTGCGCCAGTGCCACCTCGAGCCGCAAACCCGCGCGCACTGAAGCACACCCCACATCAAACATATTGCCCAGTGCGCTTGCATGTGTCGTTTGCCACGACACATGAAGGGGGGGCCGCGTGCGAAGGAACACGGCCCTACAACCCGGGAGGAGAAATCCATGACCACAACGGGGATCACAACAATAAGCGGGACCACAACCGTCGGGGACACACATTCTTGACGTGATATTGGGATTGTACATGTTGCGATGCAATACTATGGTTTTGCAAGGGGGGGCCGCTCCCCACCAACGGTCGCCGAGGTCTTCCCTCGTGGCGCTCTACGACGAGCGCTCCTGGTTCCACCGCCTGAAGGGGTTCAAGAAAATATTGAAAGATCTGGCGAAAGTCCCGGGCCGAGTTCGGTAGCCGGCTGGGTTCCCGGGTTCCCAGTTCCGGGGTTCCTGGTTGCCGTTCTGGACCGATTTCGGGATCCCACAATGGAGATCACCATCGATCTCATGATCGATTTCACTATCGTACTCGTACCTGCCAAATTTTTCAAATCATCCAGTGTTAGGGATTTTTCTTTGAATTTAATGTTAATGTTCACACTTCCCTGGGGCCCAAATAGCTTTCAAAATATCATACCACGGACCAGTGGTTCGTCCCGAATGGTTCCTCCATGGCGCCAGGGCCCGAAACTGGTCAAATCTTCAAGGACCGAAGCCTTTGGGCAATTGGCCGTCGCGCAAATTTTCTGGGCGCCGAACAAACGGGTGCACAGAGTCTCTAGAGTCGGCCCGCACCATGACGATGCGCGATAAGGATGCAAGGGCCTTGGACGCCCATTTCGAAGCTTTTCGGGTGGGGCGCGGCCAGCGAAATGGGCCAAGGATGGACCGAGGAGGTAAGGATGCACGGGTACCCTTGGGAAGCTTGTCCATCCTTACTGTGCGGGTGGAGACTATACACGCAATCTCTACCAACACATGTTGCACGCAAGGACCGCACATCGGTTTCTGTTCTTGCACGGGGCCTGAATCAGCTGAGGTGTCGCAGTGTATCCACGCCCCATGGCAGCATCTCTCACGCTGCACTGTTGTATCTCTCTCGCTCCTCCTTGTCCTCCTCGTTTGCGTCCCCGTCCTTTTCTCTCAACCGATTCAAATCCTATACTACTGACTCCTGCTACTGTGGACTCCGGGAAGCCTGCACATACAATCACTATGCTGCACGCTGGCCCTCGTGCTGCTAGCATAGAAAAAATACGCAAATGACAAAGAGAAGCAGAATCAGTAAAAAAACACAGACAGAAAGGAATCTAATATAAAGAAGAAATTACGCATATCTGGCGACGGTGCCCGCTCCTTCCGCGGGCGGTCGCATGCATCGTTGCTGTATATGGGAACGATCGGACACGACTTCACCCACATGCTCACCTCCTCCACCCCGCTCGTCTCGATCATACCTTCCAGGCGCTTCAACGCCTTTTGTGAACGCATCAACGCAGAATCCGCGAGCTTGTACTTCTCTAAGGCGCGAAATACTGCGTAGAAAACTTGCAGCTCTGGTCCTCCCCGATCCGTAACCTCCATGCTCTCCTTCCTCTTCTCCTCCTTCGCACTCTGCAGGTATTCCAGGTAGGCATCGCTCCCCGCAATCGCGATGGGATTGTCCTGCTGCAAGACTACACTGGAGGTGGTGTCCTTCTCGACTGCTCTGACTCTCGCCTCCAGCTGCACGAACAATCGATCTCGAATTTTGCCCAGCTGGTCGACACTCGTGTTGCCTTTGCTGATGTCCCGTCCTCCTTGAACTCCCGTCCCCTGTCTCTTCGATCCCCCCTCCCGCACTCCAGGCAATAGGAAGCTCGACATCGTGCCCAGCTGGCAACAGGGGAGCGAGATGATCGCGGCAGTGCCACACAAGCTCATGCGTGGTCTCAAAAACTCGAGGCAGAATGGGCACCGGAAAAGGTCACATTCCTGAAGCTCGTGCACTCGATAGCTCACATCCGCTCTGCATCTTTTTTTGTACATGCCAGTAAGGGCGCGTGCAGTGGCTGCGTTCGCATTCGCGAGTACAGTAGAACACAATGGACAGACATTGGTGACGGTACGTCGGCGTGCATAATTCCCAACGCCATGTTCCCCTCCCCGTGCATGGGCCTGATGCGTCTTGAGGCGAGTGGGTGCACCCAAACGCGCCGTGCAAGGGGCGTCGCCATCATTGAGCAACGCGCACACAAATGGTCTCTCGTCGTCTTGATCAGCATTATGTGTAGCTCCTGTTGCGTACCCCTGTACAACACGCTGCGCAAATAAGTAATGTGCTCTCAACTGTCTTAAACCAATACGTGTACAGTCCTCGCCACCCTCGATCAGGATGCGTCTGAAGTTGTTCTGGTATCTTTCGAGAAGACCCACCACTTCTTCCATAACGTGCAACGCCTGTGCATATTGCCACCATTGCTTCGCCCAAGGATTGGCATCGGGTCGAAGCGACCCATCAGGAGGAACAAAAACAGTGCCGCCCACGAATTGGTCTCCAGAAGCGCTCGCCGATAACTACACATGCGCGAGCGGCATCTTAACAATAACCTGTAGCTATCGAAGCCGTCGAATTTTGAGCCCAGGCGAAACACTCGCGACCCCCCTGTTTTCAATGCTTGATATCCAAACATTTCCTTCGCGCGTCCACCTCACAAGTGCCCTTCAACGCCACCCTCCCGTACTTCACTAGAACGCGATGAACCCTGTGCACATCATGCGCACTAAGTGATTCAGTCCTTCCTGCTAAACGTCCCGCACCACTTAGAGCAGCATTAAGCAGGCGCCATCGAAACGCTCGAGCTCGAAGTTTTAAAAGCGAGTCACTGGCCCAGAAGCCACGAAGATAAAACCAGGCTCGCTCAACTGCCGCTCTGCGAAGTGTGATCTCGCACTGACAAGGGAGACTTGCCGAGATCCGCACCCCAAAGTACGGTGCGCTGGCAAGTACTTATCCCTGCGCGCCTCTCTTGCCCATTCACAGCTGGCGCTCAAGAATATGGGCCCCACGGCCACACAAGTGCGGAACGCTATCCTGCTTATCCACGTTCTGCGCAGCTCCACACCAATCCATACCTGCCGTGATACGTTGATAATGTGCGCGCCCCTCCTCCACAATGCCCCCTCCTTCCTCCATGATCACCTTGTCCCCCACAGAATCTACGGACGTCGTGAACCCAATCTGCGTTTCCCTCCCCGTGAGTGGACATGCTGCTGCGCGGTGCGTTGTCCATATGTCATGTTGCCGCGGGTGCAGCGCCGTCTCTTGCAGTGCTTGTGAATGTGCTGCAATAGATATCTTAGTAGCTGCGTGATATCCTTGAAAAAACCATCGTATTCCTCGCTTACATCGTGCCCGTGGGATCTCTCAGCGCGAAGGACATGCCCGACGCCCGATCCCTGCAAACGCGAGGTCGCACCTCCTGGAACAAAAACCGCGGCAACACACTCATGATACACCGAAACGGCATGCAATAGAACGCGTTCGTGCCGTCGTGGAATCGACTGAGAGGGGAAATCCGCAACTTACGTAATCTCCATGAGGCACGCGCCTTTGTGAGCATAGCGTTTTCCCTTCTCCTTTTGCGAAGTCCACCTTGGCACCAGACTGGAAACTGAAATACTGGTGCATCCTCATGCTAAACAGAAGACACGTGTAGACACCTTCCCACCGTGCGCATTACCATGATGACCCTCTCTCCGTCACATCCTTCCTTGAACTTGTTCTTCGGCAGCCGGTGCGCAAGTGCCTGGTTCATCTGAACCGCGAGTCTGCCTGCTCTGCGATGCGCAAAAAGCAATCGCACAAATGCATTCTGTAGCTCCTTAAACTCGCGCATGCGCTCGTGGAGTCGAAGTCCAACAGGAGAGGCTGGTCTTCTCGGGTTCGTCCATTCAGGGCGTGCGGCCATACGCAGCATTTCCACTGGTACGCTTCACTCAGGCCAGGTTCTCCATAGTTTCATGCGCCAGACTCTCCTCTGTACTTGTTTCCAACCTTCCTTCGCTAGCTGCCATGCTTCCTCAACCGGAAGTTGCAACGGTGGCCGAGCACACGCGCTCTCAATCATCTCCCTCTCCGTGGTATCAATAGCTGCGCATGCCCCCATCCTCCCAGGAAGTTTCACACGTGCTTGCCACTGTCTCGCCGTCGCCGTTGATGTAGCCAACCATATGTGATGTCTGTATTGTTTTTGACGTGATCCTCTACGTCTGCCTGCAATAAGTTTAGATCGTTTGTGTACTGTGTGTGAACATCCAGCTTTCATGGCTCGTGCAAGCTCCTCAATTCTCCTCTCTCTCTCACAATGTTCCAATACTTTCTGGCTGTGTTGCGTATCTGTCTGCTGGCTCTGGTGAGCCGTAGATTCACTTCCATCTCCTTGTCAATATTCCATAGTCCAGAATGAGAATGGTCACGAGCCGCCCTTCTCAATGCAAGAAGCTGTTTGGCTTCCTTCACGTATTCGCAATGCGACTCAGTGAAGTACGGGGTTGTCCTGAAAACAACAGTCGCAGCGTCATTGATGATCTGAAAAGTTTGCTCCGTGATCTCTATTCCACTCTTCCCTGGTACGCCACCAATAGCAAATCTGGTTTGGCTTGCACAGGCTGCTGCTGTACTTTGCTGAAGAAGACATGCCTCATCTGTCCCGTCTGCAGTGCAAAATGCATCGCCTCCTGGTTCGGTCTCTCCACTCGATCCTGTCTTTGCTGGTACTGAAGACCGATGACGGCCGTCAAATGAATTGGCCTATGCTCGAATGGTCTCGACGTTCGATGCAGCTGTAGCCGGCGACCCGACGATGCAAGCGCTCTGACATTCCCAACTGCTCTCCACATCGCGTGTCATCCGAGGATGTGGTCCAGCGTCTTAGAACTTATTTCTCCAATATAGCTGGGTGCCATGCGGTAATGTGTGCCAAACGACGTGAGTCCCATTCCGTCCAAGAGAGGTCTGCCCTGACTCGACGTATTGTGCTCGCTACCACCGGAAATCTCTCCACATCCGACTGTGTCGGTGTGGTACTGTACTCCATCATTCAAACCCGTAAACATGAAAACGGTATCTCGAGCACTAGCCTAGTGCAGTAACTCGCTCAACAAACTTACCATGCGTGTGACGGTTTGTTTCTTGATTGTCTTTTTCATGCCTCCTCGTGTGTCTCGGTGGGAAATACATACCAATAAGCAGAAGCTGAAGCGGTCCCTGTTGTATTATCATCGCCGCGCATCTCCCCCAGAGCACCTGTGGCACCTCGAAGAGTTTCTTTATGTTGTGTTCTCTGAAACGCGATCCTCGCAGCATAGAGGTAATGCCACAACTTCTGGTAGAAAACTTTCCAGTCTTAAAGCCAAAAGGAATACATAAATAACCATTTGCTTTGAACGTGTATTCTGTGAGTCCACATCTGCTCCGAAACTGCGTGCCAATAAGTGCGATGACATCCCTGTTGGGCAATTCCGACGCTATGTCTAGGGTTCTCTGCATAGCGTTGCACTCACATGGGCTGTACTGCACCAGCCTGACGAAGGCCATCCGCGCGAGACGAAGCAACCGTGCGGCCACCAGTCGTAGCCCGATGCCCCAGCCCCCTTCATCATCGAGAGGCAACATCTACCTGACCTGTGATCGCCATGGTTCGTTAATTTGCAAAGCTGGCGTCTGGTTACTCCTGCAAAATGCTCGGGCCCGCCAGCTTGCGTCCCCGTCCTGATACCCCTCCCCCCGAGTCATCGCCCCGAGTCGAGGCCTCGGGATTTCCCCCCCCCCGTGCAACAAGTGCTGCGCACCTCGCAAGCATTCAATCGAGCGAGCCGCATGGGGGGAAGATGGAGTGGGAGGAGGGAGGGGGGCAAGCGGAGAGGAAGGAGAATAATGGCGGTTCCAGGGACCCCTAGATCCCTCCGGACTCCTCTATTGCACAATCTGGCACAGCTGACAGGTCCTATATTGACCTGTACACATCATGCCATCATCCCTCATCATCCCATCCTACCCTGAGCCTGTAAGGCTCGAGTGTTGGGGACTCGTCAGACGGTTGACGGGCCCGTCAGAGAACGACGGGACTGGATCTGAACATTGACGCGAACTCCCGCTGCCAATATCTCACGAAAACTGGACCGCCAAGATCGGTGCCGCTCCCGTCAAGGAGAGGAGCAAACCCGAGCTCCCGCAGACTCGAGCCTCACGCTTCCCCGATCCTTCTTCCCCTCGAGGGGGGGGGCGGAACGGTAGGGTTTTCTGGGTTTGAGCCTCCAGTCCCATGTCGGGACCAGGCGCCAACAAACAGCAACCCAACTGCCAACGCCCCGCGTGAGGTGGGACCCTGTAGGAAAGGCGTGACCGCTCACCCGTCACACTCGATGCGGTGGCATCGCAAAAAGGATGAGGCCTCGCCAATGCGTGCTGGCGACGTGCGGCTGTATTGGAGGAGCCGCCGCATAAGTAGAACTCAGCAGACGGAGGAGGAGCAAGGACTACAGGAGGGCACGGACGACGACGAGGCAGACCAAGCATCCGTCAGCGGCAGCTTCTGTGCCTCATGACTGGGTGAGCCAATGCATGAGTGGGCCGTGCTCGGGCTATGGGACAAAATGATGAGATGCTGTGCGAATACTCGGCCTCCCCATAAGGCGTCAGTCCCACTACGACGGCGCCCTCGGCGACGACGACGTCGGCCGCGAAGACGACGACGACGACGACGACGACGACGACGACGCTGGCCGCGACGACGACGGCCGCGCCCACGCTTACCATGAAGTGGATGAGTCCTGTGGGAAGCGGGTCCTCGACCCTGTGGTCCTCCCCTTGGACCAATTAGTCCTTCTGGGCCGTTTCATGACAGTCCTGGGAGGCCAACACAACGGCGAGAAGCCTCAGGACCCGTTTCCCTCAGGACCCTGTTTAGGGAAACAAGCTCTATACACCGACGCATCTTCCGGCCCTGCACTGACACTTGCTCAGGAAGCGGATCCTGGTGTATACGGGATCCTGATGTAGACATTTTTCGCTGTTTCCCGGGAAACGGAAAAACAAACAAGTATACACCACACCACCCCGACTTCGTACCCGACCCTCCAAAGTCCTGACTTTGAACAACGGCCCGCCACTGGTAATGTACGGCAGGTTCGTGTCGTGCCGACCCCAGCGTTAGAACCTGACACTGCGTGGATCGTTCAACCTCGAACGATCGGCCGTTTCCGTCGGATCGTCCACAATCGACCGATTCTCGGTCGCTGGCGGTGTTCAAGGTTGAACGCTGGCGGCGCGGCCGCTGCCAGTCGACACGACGCGAACCTACCGTGTATGTTCCAGTTTCCGACTTTTGCCTTCGCGAGGCGACCGCGCCCAACGACGTCGACGGCGCCGCCGACGGCCGGCAACCACGACGGCCACGGCGGCGGCGGCTGGCGCTGACGATGCCGGCTGCGGCAGGCCGCCAGCCACCGCACCGACGGCGGCGCGCGCGGGGAGAAACCAGAAGGCACGGCTACGGCTACAGGTGGAGGCCAGTCCACAGGAAACCTTCGCGCTGTGATAAAATCGCGACGGGAAACTTTTCGCTATGTTCGGACTCCGGGGGCCCTTCCTGGGCCTCGGGACCGTCAAACAACGACACAGGATGAAGAACCGGTCCCAGGGAAGGGGTCCCAGACCTCTGGGGGTCGACGTTGTGAAAGAAATCACGACGTCGAGGGTCTGGACAGTAGGAGCTCGACCGCAAGAAACCTTCCACAAGAAGCCCAACCCTTAGTCCCCAGGACGCCCACTGGGTTTTTGGGTGGCAGCGTCACTTGCCATGGCAGAGCCATCGGAACCCAAGCAGGGTACCCTGGAGGCAAGCAGGGTGTTTCTCGGCAGGGGTTTCCACTCTGCTCCCCCGTCGGACCTCTCCCAGGGTGCGTTCTGACCAGGCTCTCGAGGCGAATCAGGCGGTGGCGACGAGGGCCTCCCAGGAGACCCCAAAGAGGGGAAAACGGGCGGAGGGAAGCGGTACAGGCACCTTCCCAGACCCTCGACGTCATGATCTTTTAACGACGTCGACCCCTGAGGTCTCGATCTATTCCCTGGGACTGGTTCTTCACCCCGAGTCCTGTCTTGGCCGGTCCCGCAGAGGCCGACAAGAGCGAAAAAACACCTCCCGTCGTGATCTCCTCAGGCCTCGAGGGTGTCTTCTGGCCATCGCTCGGACGTCCATTTCCTGTGCTTTTTTCGGTTTCGTGCGTGGCTTTTTCGCGAAATGCTCAAGGATGCTCCTCGGTGGTCCTCGCCGGAGGAAAAATGCACACGTCCGAGCGATGCCAAGTCCTTTGGGCGCCCTCGACGCGCCGACGACGGCGCGCGTCCTGCCCCAGCGCGTCCCGCGGAGCGCCCAGGTCGGGGAAGTCCAGCGGCGGCGGCGAGGGCGGGGGCGGCGGGCACGCCGGGCCTCGGCGGGGGCGGAGGCGGGGCGGGGCGCCGCCGCCGCTCAGGCCGCAGGTCGGGCAGGTCCTCCTACAGTGAAGGGGCCCCAGGACACATCCAAAATACACACAACTAGAAAGATTCCCCATCTGTTCCCATATTTTCTGGGCTTCTGTCTTCCCCACCACTTCCCATATTTTCCCATATTATCTGGGGAATCGACGATTAATTGTGTCTGTGTGTGTGTGATTTTTCCCCCCTCATGATACAGGCGGAGCGTGGGAGCAGAGCGAGAGATAGTAGCGGCATAGATGCCCCCAAAAATAGCCCACACATCAATGAAACAGAGTCCACAATAAATATCAACAGAGAAATGACACGTAGCCCACAGATAAATGAAACATAGTCCACAGAGTAGCGACAAATATCCCAAACTAGTCAACAAATAACTGCAAAAACGGCCCCAGACTATTCCTCTTCCTATATTTTTATAAGCCCGGGCGGGGGGAAAACCCGTCCCCCCCCAAAAAAAAAATGGACTCCCGGGATCTGGGGCTTTGGAACCCTCCGGACGGGCCTCGAAGCGGCCCCCCGGGCCTTGCAGGGCGTTTTGACAAGCCTTCGCAGCACACCTGGGGCGATCAGGGGGGTCATCGGAGACGTCCCAGAGATCCCCAAGACAGCACAAGAGCGCTCCAAGAGTGACCGACGTGACCTCAAGATGGCCCAAGAGGCCTCCAGGACGGCCCCAAAGAGGCCTCCAAGAGCACTCCGAAGAAGGGCCCAAGAGGCAAAACTCATTAGTTTTGCATGGGTTTTTGGTGGATTTTGGGGTTCTCCTCTTTTCGGCTTCCCGACGCTCCAAGACGGCGGTCTTCTGGGCGTCCGAAGCCGCCTGGGAGGCTCCAAAATCGCCCCACAAACATCCGAAAGGGCATCCAGGCAGTCCAAGGGAGCCCCAAAACGGCACAACACGGGTCCAAGATGGCCCTCAGAGAGCCCCATGGCGGCCCAAGATGGCCCCAAGACACCCTCCGAAGCATTCCAAATCGTGACCCGGTCGTTCAGGCAGACCGCGGTTGGAGGCAGGGTGGCCCGAGGAAGCCCCCAGAGGCCCCCAGAATACAACCGGGAGGCCTCCTGCGAAAGCATTAAGGAAGCCTGAAACAACTTTTGTGAGGCCCCCAGAGGCTCTCCAAGGAGGAGCCTCCGCACTAAGGAGCTGAGGAGGATGGGGAGAATGCGCAGGGTATGGCGAACATGCGGAAAAAGAAGCATGGAGGAAAGATAACGAATCACATTATTATAGCGGCGATGCCGGAAAAAGGCAACAAGGAATTATCGCTAAATTGACGACTTGACCTTCCTGCAATTCCGCCTGCATACCACACTTCAAGGACCAAGGTGCATGGCGCGAAGCGCCACTGCAGTCTTGTATATATATATATATATATATATATATATATATATATATAGGCCAGTTTTGAATACTCCTCCTGTAGAGGGGGACACGCCCGACTTAGCGCTCGCCCCAGGCGTCGCCCCGCCGCCGTCGGAGAGGCGGAGGCTCGTGGGGCGAAGCATTCTCCGTGCTGATTTCGACGGTGGACAAACCTCCCTTTAGTAAACCTCCCCTTAGTGACAACGGCCTGGGACCGAAACCGACGGATCTGGACCCGCAACAATGACGGCCGCGACGCCCTCTCGCGAACCGAAAACGGCCAATTCCTTCATCGACGTGTCAGGGTAGGAGGTCTGTCCACCTCCGCGTTGATTTAGGGCCGTACACCCAGACGTCCTCGCGCTGTGGCAAAATCGCGACGGGAAACTTTTCGCTATGTGCGGCCTCTGGGTGCCCTTCCTGGGCCTCGGGACCGTCAAGAAACGACTCAGGCTGAAGAACGGGTACCCAGGAAGGGGTCCAGACCTCTGCAGGGTCGCGACGGGAAACTTTTCGCTATGTTCGGACTCCAGGGGCCCTTCCTGGGCCTCGGGACCGTCAGACAACGACTCAGGATGAAGAACCGGTCCCAGGGAAGGGGTCCCAGACCTGTGGGGGTCGACGTTGTGAAAGAAATCACGACGTCGAGGGTCTGGGCAGTAGGAGCTCGACCACAAAGACACCTTCCACAAGCGACCCAACCCTGAGACCCCAGGATGTCCCTCGAGTTTGGGCACGGAGACGTCACGATTTCCGGCGTAGGCCATCGAAGCCCAAGAAACCCAGGGCACCCTGGAGGCAGGCAGGGTGTTTCCTGGCATGGGCTTCCTCTGCAGGGCGGGCAGGCGGGGCGCGCCTTGGGCATGTTTTCTTCGACCGCCCTGGCCCAGTGGCGTAGGCGACGCTGAGCACAAGCTTTTTCTTGGAGGCCGTGCTCTCTTGGAGGCCACGCTTTCTTGGAGGCTCAGCACGAGCCCTCTTGGAGGCCAAGCAGTCTTGGAGGCCATGCTTTTTGTTTGCTCCATGCCCCCCCTGTAACGTCCATCACGGGGGGAGCGGAGGGGGGGGGAGGGGGCCTGCGAGCGCCACGGCATGCGAGTGAGCACCACAGCATGCCCGTCGGCACCACAGCATGCCCGTGAGCACCGCGCCGTGCCTGTGGGCGTGTGGGGGAACCGCCCTCCCTTCCCCCCCCGCGGACGATTGGTACCGTTGCGGGGAGGGGGCGACCGCCCGCAGCGGGCGCTGCATGCTCCCCTGACGACGTAACACGCTCCATTCTTCGTGATCTCGAGGCGGCTTGCCCCACATCCTGGTTAGCAAAGCCACGGTTTGGGGGCTTGCCGTTCCTCGTGATCTCGAGGCGGCCTGCCCACAGTCCTGGCCAGCAAAGTCCCGGCCTAGGGGGCGTGTCGCCGTCGCCGTCGGCGCTGGCCTCGGCCGCGGCGTCGGCGGCGCGGCGCCATCTCATCGTCGGAGGCCGAGCCAGCGAGCCACCGAGGCGGAGCGGAGCAGCCCCCGGGCCTGTCGAAGGCCGGGCGAACGAGGCCGTGGCCCCCCTCTCCCTCTCTCTCTCTCTCTCTCTCCGCTGCACGCAGCGTTGCCGTGGCGCGAGTGGAAAAGGCATGCGTGTGCGCTGCGAGGCAACCGAAGAGCTCGCGGGAGGAAGGGCAGGGGCGGGAAGAGGAGGGGGCAGGAGCCGGGGATGGACAGAACTCCCTTCAGTGGCCCAAACCTGGCGGGCGCAAGCCTGGAAAATGACGGCCGCGGCGCCCTCCCGAGAAACGACAACGGACAATTCACTAATCGACGTGTCAGGGTGGGGCCTCTGTCCACCCCCGAAGGAGACGGGAAGATGGGGGGGCGTGCTGGGGGCGCATGCTACAGGGGCTCTCCTCCTGGGGTCCGCCCTTGCCGCCCAGAAGTCCTCGTGGACATCTGGCCCATCCGGCGCGGGTTCCCAACAATCCAACCCCGCGCGAGGGGTTTACACTTTTCCGGGCCCGCTCCCGCTCATAATTATGTTTCCGCCGAAGGCAGCTGAGCGGCGGGTCTCTGCTGTGCTGCCCCGGTGATGCTCTCGGCGAATGTCGGCGGTGGACAAACCTCCCTTTAGTAAACCTCCCCTTAACGAAAACGGCCTGCGACCGAAACCCACGGACCTGGACCCGCAGAAATGACGGCCGCGACGCCCTCTCGCGAACCGAAAACGGCCAATTCCTTAATCGACGTGTCAGGGTAGGAAGTCTGTCCACCTCCGCGTTGAGTGGCAAAATCGCGACGGGAAACTTTTCGCTATGTGCGGCCTCCGGGTGCCCTTCCTGGGCCTCGGGACCGTCAAGAAACGACTCAGGCTGAAGAACGGGTACCCAGGAAGGGATCCAGACCTCTGCAGGGTCGCGACGGGAAACTGTTCGCTATGTTCGGACTCCAAGGGCCCTTCCTGGGCCTCGGGACCGTCAGACAACGACTCAGGATGACGAACCGGTCCCAGGGAAGGGGTCCCAGACCTCTGGGGGTCGACGTTGTGAACAAAAATCACGACGTCGAGGGTCTGGGCAGTAGGAGCTCGACCACAAAGACACCTTCCTCAAGCGACCCAACCCTGAGACCCCAGGATGTCCCTTGAGTTTGGGCATGGAGACGTCACGATTTCCGTCGTAGGCCATCGAAACCCAGGAGGAGGAGGAGGAGGAGGAGGAGGAGGAGGAGGAGGAGGAGCAGGGTGTTTCTTGGCATGGACTTCCTCTGCAGGGCGGGCAAGCGGGGCGCGCCTGGGCATGTTCTTCGACCGTCCTGGCCCAGTGGCGTAGGCGACGCCGAGCACAAGCTCTCTTGGAGGCCATGCTTTCTTGGAGGCCATGCTCTCTTGGAGGCTCAGCACGAGCCCTCTTGGAGGCCAAGCAGTCTCCCGTCCGAACCTCGGGGCGCCGGCGGCGCGGGGGAGGAACTCCGGGGGGGAGGCCGCGTGGCTGCCCCGAGCTGCGGGGCCTCGCGGAGAGGCTCGGCACGGGGGCCCCTCGGCACGGGGCCCCCCAACCGAAAGGCCTGGTCTTTATAGGGCCTGCCCCTCTGCGGGAGGACGAGTCAAGAATAGTTAAAAAAACATAGGAGGGAGATGATGCGTCGACTATCTTTCGACTACGCTTCACACTGCGGGAGGAAGAGTCAAGAATAGTAAAAACACAGAATGCGGGATGATGATTCACCAAAAATAGGGGGGGCACGATTAAAAAAACAGTTCTCTGATTTCTGTTGCACAATTGCCTGACTGAAACAGAGCGATTAAAAATGTCGTGTTCAAAATAATTTCGCAAAGGAATTAATTCAAAACCCGATTAATACAACTGAACCACAAACTTGTTAAGAAACCACCGTTTTGACTAGAGGGAGATGATGCTTCGACTATCTTTCGACTACGCTTCACACTTGCTTGACTGCTTTCTCCCGTTTCCGCCCACAGTCCGCCTGCAAGGGGGGCATGCCCGACCTCCTTCTGGTCGGCAAGTCTCCGGGAGAGGTCCGGGCGTCAAGCTGCGTCAACTCCGGAGCGTTGGGGCCGCTCCCTTCCGCAAGCCCCTGCTCCTCCCCCATCGGTGGCCGGGGGGGGGGGGGGGCAGGGGGGGAAAGAGTGGGTGCCCAGATCATACCTCCTCCTCCTCCTCCTCCTCCTCCTCCTCCTCCTCCTCCTCCTCCTCTTCCTCCCTGTTTCCCTCCCCTGCTCTCAGCCTCCCCCTCCCTCCCTCGCTTCCCTTCCCTCCTCTCCTCAGTGACCTGCCTCCCTCCCCCCTCCCCCTGCATCTCCCTCCCAGCTCGTACCAATACGAATGAGGCTCAAAATGCGATGGCACAATTCGTTCCACTTTGCCAAAGGATTTCGTGCGTTAACGCTGCGACCTCTCCGAGACCCCCAGTCCTCCCACCCTTCCTCCATCCTGCTCCCTTGGCGGGCCGCTCAGGGGAAGCTTACAGCCCAGACCCCCGACGTCATGATTTTTTCACGACGTCGACCCCCAGAGCTTTCGACCCCTTCCCGGGGACCGGTTTTTCATCCTGAGTCGTTTTTGGACGGTTCCGAGGCCTGGCAAGCCCTGGCTCCGGATCCGCCCTACTTTGGCTTTTTTTCCAACTTAAAATTGCATCGGAAATCCACCTACAAGAGGCCGAAAAAGTAGGGCGGAAATTTCTGCACCCAGTATAAAGTAGGGCGGAAATCCACAGAAATAGGGCGGAAACAGCAGCAGAAAAGTAGGGTGGAAATTGGCATCAGCGGGGCTTGAAAAGTAAGGCGGAAATTCCAAGCCCTACTTACGAATTTCCCCAAAGTAGGGCGGATCCGGAGTCAGGGAGGGCCCCACAGGCCGAAAATGGCGAACAACATCCCGTCGTGATTTTGTCCACGGCTCGAGAGGGTCTGGGAGGTGCGCTGCGCAGCGAGCGAGACGAGCCCCCCCCCCGCTCACAGGGCAGTGTCCCGGCGGCGTCTGCAGGGCAGGGTGAGAGGGGGGAGGGGGGGCAACGGACACGGGGCGAGGCGCAGGGGGGGGGGGGGGGAAAGGACGGAGCGGGGATGGGGAGGAGATGGAAGGCTGCCCTGACTCCAGATCCGCCCTACTTTGGGGAAATTCGTAAGTGGGGCTTGGCATTTCCGCCTTACTTTTCAAGCCCCGCTGATGCCAATTTCCGCCCTACTTTTCTGTTGCTGTTTCTATAGATTTCCGCCCTATTTTATGTTGGTTGCAGCAATTTCCGCCCAACTTTTTCGGCCTCTTCTGGGTGGATTTCCGACGCAATTTTAAGTTGGAAAAAAAGCCAACGTAGGGCGGATCCGGAGTCAGGGGGGGGAACGGACGGAGCGAGCATGGGGAGGAGATGGAAGGCTGGGGCTGATGGACCCGGACCCCCTCGAGTGATGAAGAAATCGCGACGGGAGGTTTTTTCCACAATTTTAGGCCTCCAGGGCCCTTACTGGGCCTCGGGACCGTCCAAAAACGACGCGGGATGAAAAACCGGTCCCGGGGAATAGGTCGAAACCTCTGGAGGTCAACGTCATGAAACCATCACGACGTCGGAGGTCTGGGGACGGAGCTGATGGACGGAGCGGGGGGGTGGGCGGGACGAAGGGATGGGAGGGAGGAATGGCGGGCACAGAGGGAAGAGAGGGGAAGAGACCAACGAAGGAGGGACGCCGGGAGGGATGAGGGCCGAGGGCATCGGCATGCCTGTGGAAATGCCAGCCGCGGGCCGACACAGCTTCCATGAGCCGCCCCTTGCCACGCCGAGACTTGCCAAATCCCCGGTTTGCAACGTCCTGGCCTCCAGGGCCCCGAGGATATCCCGAGATCCGAAGACGCGGTCTCGGTGCAACGCCGAGTTGAGAACCACCGGCTGGAGCCCGGGTCCCCATCTTTCCGCTGCACTCCGCGAGCCACATAATTATCGATCCGTGAGGGCCCTGGGCCTCGACAAGCCAGGCGAGCACGCGCCCGACGCGGAACCAAGAACACTGCGACGCGCGGCGCGACCGCTGGCCGCCGGCCTTCGCTTCGAAGCCGCAGGCGAAGAGGCGCCGAAGGGCATGGCGCCCCTCGTCCTGGAGCGCCGCTGTCCGGCAGGAAGTCCCCGCCTCGCCTTCCAAGTAGAGGCACCTCCCCCGGCCGCGTGCCCACGGACCTTGGCGATCCCGGCGTCGCAGCCTGTTCGAGCCGGGCGCTCTCGCATTCGTTCCGAGCCCTGGGGCCCTCGGAGATCGATCCAGCTCGAGACACGCATCACAGAGACATCGGGCATTGGTCTCCGGTCGCACGTTTCCACGGCGCCGCCAGTTTCTCGCGCCGTCGGATCTCTGGCTGGCTGGGTGCCTGGGGAAGCGGCGCGGGCCCTTTCGGCGCACAGTGCCCACACATAACTACCCGGACATCGAGCGTCTCGTTTTTGTTCGGTGTCCGAGACGCTGGCTCCCTCTCGACCACTGCCCCGGGACAGGTTTTGTTCATCCCGCCGTGTTTTTGACGGTCCCGCCGAGGCCAGCAAGGGCCGCACACGGGAGCCGCGCTTATGTACCCTATCGGGTAAGCATCTGGGATCTGTCCCGTGGCGCTTGGCAGAAACACCGCAGGACCATGTATAGTGAGTGCACAATTATCTGCCGGTTCTCGGTGCGGCACGCGCTGAACACAGTATGCACTGTGTGTGGGCCGCCACTTGCCACCAAGTGGCAGACAGACGTAGCGTAGTTCAGTGGACATGTCCCTGGCCTCGAGAAAGCTGTGGACAACCTCCGCCTCGACTTGCTCGAGGCGCCAGATGTCTAGGAAGGGGCGCCCTGCTGGCGCTGGACCGCCGCGGCAACAGCAGGGCACCCTGCTGCATCAGTCGCAGTCGGGCCGGCAAGCGTCGCCCCTGGCCCGCGATCAGCCAGGCGGGAACAGGGACCGACCGTCCCGGCATTCCTGCAGGCCTGCCAGAACATCTCATGAGCACAAAGAAGGAGTGCTCTACACTGCTCTTGTAGAACATAAGTCCGATGTATCAGAGCAGGACTGTCTCAGCCAGCGAGCCAGGACGCTTCGCCACTGCTCGAATCTCAAGGGAAGGGTGCCCCCAGCAGAAGGGCCCTCCTGCAGCAGGGGGCCGCCGCAGCAGCGGCTGACTCGCCCTCCTGCGGCAGGCGCCGCTGGGGCGGGGCCGGCGTCGCCCCCCGCCCGCCGACGCAGATCGCAAACAGCGCACCCCGGCGCATCCCCACCCCGGGCGGGTGGTAACGGGGGGTGACCTGAACGGGGATGGAAAAAGGGGGCCCCATAGAAGGGGCCGCTCTCTTCACACCCCCTCGAAACATCACCCTCCAGTGCCACGCGCCCGACTCCTGGTGGAGGGGCGAGGAGGAGGAGGAGGAGGAGGAGGAGGAGGAGGAGCAGGAGGAGGAGGAGGAGGAGGAGTAGGGCGCCCTCCTGGCGCAGGCGACCGAAGGAGGCCGCGGGGGCGGGCCCCGCGTCGCCGCTGGCAGCGGAGACGTGCGGCGGCGGCGGCCCTGGCGCCCGAGGCGCGGGCGCGACGGCGAGGCCGGCCGGCAGCGGGCTTCGCCGCAGGCTGGACCTGCCGCGGGCGACGGCCTCGTCGTCGTCGTCGTCCCCAGACATCGGGCGTCTCGAACAAGTCGAGCACAGTCTTCACCCTGTCGGGACCCTCTCTGGGCTTCGTGATCCGTCAATGGCTACCTACCAGACCACCCCAACCCAACCCGAAGACCCGAGTTTCGGGTTGGGGGGTGTATGGGCTCCACACGTGTTTTTTCGATGGAGGGCACATTGAGGCCTTCGGGTTGGGTTGGGGTGGTTTGGTGAGTGGTGAGTCAAACAACGACTCGGGATGGAACAACGGTCCTGGGGAATGGGCCGAGACTTTTGAGGGCAACGGCCGGCAGCGGACTTCGACGCAGGCTAGATCTGTGAAGGACAAGCACATCCTAGTGGTACTCGGCGCCCTCCTTGGGGGCGCACGTCCGAGTCGAGCAAATCGCAAAACGCTTACAACATACCGCTACCCGAGCGGTACTCAAACATCTGGCTGCTCAATTGTTTCCGATGCGTGGGCTCCAGAGTTTCTGACCACACCCCAAACCCAAGAAAACAATTAAGAACCCCCCTGTGTTATCGTTAGCACCGAAGCGAAAATAAAGAATTCGCGGGCGGAGGAGTTAGCTGAACGATACCTTGAGCACCGCACCAGGCCGCAACAAATAAGTAAGTTCCCCCCCCCCCCGAACGCAAGTGCTCGTCCTTTTCCATTCTGTCGACCGTAATTATTTCCATTTCTCGTTCCTCCTCACCGCCCCTCTTTCCTCATCCTTTTCCTCTTTCTCCTCACCTTCACTGTCCCATACGATTCCTACTGCAATCACCTATGAGAAATTGTCTTTCGTCGGTCGTCCTAGGAGGTGGTCCACCCCAGGGTATCGACCCCGATACCGCTACTTTTAGGTCACGCGTGTCCCCCGATTTTGGACGAGAGATAAAAACATATCCAAAACATACTCAACAATGGCGAACCACACAAAATCAATAGGAGCATCGTCCCCATACTATGTTTGACTATTTTTAGATGTTCCTCCTATAGAAGGATACGCCCTTTGTGGGCCCCGGAAACGGCAGGGCCGTTTTTTCACCGTTTCCAAAACAATGTCCCTTGAACATGGAAGCGGCAAAGAAACGGCGGTCGGAAACGGCAAAAAAACGGCTCCAGGATTGGAACCGCAGCCGGAACCGGTCAAAAAACGGCGACTGAACCGGTAAAAAAACGGCGTCGGAACCGGCAAAAAACGGCAAAACGGAACCGGTAAAAAACCGGCCCTGTCGTTGCCAGGGCCCACGAAGGGCACGCCCGACTGAACGCTGCTCCGTTGGGACCCCTCCCGGCGGTGCGCTCTGACCCGGACTGCGAGGCGCCTCCGGCGGCGGCGGCGAGGGCCGCCCGCGGGAGGCCCCCAAGGGGGCAAAAACGGGGCCAGGGCAGCCGCACGGGTACCGCTCCCTCCCTCCGACGAGGAGCTCCGAACCTAAGGAATCCCAAATAAGGAACGAGGCCCCTTTCTTCCATAAGTTAAGCTTCGATGTCCCATCGAAAACCAAAGGCATACCAAAGGCGAACTGCAGAACAACTAAGGAACACTGAGCCCCTCCCAAACAAAAAGGGTTCCTTCTTCAGCGCCCCGGCTGTACGTTCTCTAGAAAGGGACGCACAGCGAAAAGGGACCTCTGAGACCGCGGCGTCGACTTCGAGACTTCGACGAGTGCGATGGGGAAGATCGCAATACGGCAGCCTTTTTGTGCGAAGCCGAGCGGACTTGAGAAATCGGCATCGCCCGTCTCAAAGGTCCCTTTCCCTGGGGTCCCTTTGGGAACCACATGATCGACTTCCCCCGTGGCCCCTTCGGTGCCTCTGGGGCAGTCTTGGAGCTCTCTTGGCCTGCCTGACGCCTTCGGAAGCCACCTTGGGGGCCTCCCTGCACCGTCTTGGGATCCTCATGGGGCGTTTCCAGGCCGTCCTCCCATACCCCCGACGCCATGTTTTTTCCCAACCATCCTGTGGTGTTGGGCCCTCGTTTTGAAGAGACAGCGCCCCGCGTCTCACCTCACCTCACCTCCCGCTGCCCCCTCCCCTTCCTCCCTCCTGACCATTCCAGCTTATGCTCGCCGCATGCCCACCATGTCGGCACACCCTTCACGAACATCGTGGCCCCATAGGGAGTTCCACCGAAGGCCCCAGCGGCAGATGTTGCATGCGCCCCCCCCCGCCCATTTCGGCACACCCATCACGAGGATCGTGGCCCCATGGGGAGCTCCACCGAAGGCCCCAGCGGCAGGGTTTGCATGCGGCCTCCCATTTCGGCACAACCCCATCACGAGGATCGTGGCCCAATAGGAAGCTTCATCGAAGGCCCCAGCGGCAGGGTTTGCACGCGTCCCCCCGCCCATTTCGGCACAACCCCCTCACGAGGATCGTGGCCCCATCGGGAGCCGAAGGCCCCAGCGGCAGGGTTTGCGTGCGTCCCCCCGCTGATTTCTACACACCCCTCACAGGATCGTGGCCCCATCGGAAGCCGAAGGCCCCAGCGGCAAGGCTTGCATGCGTCCCCCGATGATTTCTGCATACGCACACGTACACACACAGACACAGACACACACACACACACACACACACACACACACACACACACACACACACGCGCGCGCGCGCACGCACGCACGCACACGCACACACACACACACTTACACTTAAACTCACACGTACAATTACACTTACACTTACACTTACACTTACACTTACACTTACACTCACACTTACACTTACACTTACACTTACACTTATTCTTACACTTACACTTACACTTACACTTACACTTACACCTACACTTACACTTACACTTACACTTACAATTATACTTACACTTACACTTACACTTACACTTACACACACACACACACACCACGAGAACCGTGAACCCATAGGGAGCTCCACGGAAGGCCCCAGCGGCAGGGTTTGCATGCGTCCCCCTGCTGGTTTCGGCACACCCATCACGAGGATCGTGGCCCCATCGGGAGCTCCACCGAAGGCCCCAGTGGCAGGGTTTGCATGCGTCCCCTTGCTCATGTCGGCACATCCCTCATGAGGATCGTGGCCCCATAGGGAGCTCCACCGAAGGCCCCAGAGGCAGATTTTGCATGCGCCCCTCCGCCCATTTCGGCACACGCCATCACAAGGATCGCGGCCCCATGGGGAGCTCCACCGAAGGCCCCAGCGGCAGGGTTTGCATGCGTCCCCCCGCCCATTTCGGCACACCCATCACGAGGATCGTGGCCCCGTAGGGGGCTCCACCGAAGGCCTCAGCGGCAGGGTTTGAATGCGTCCCCCTGCTCATTTTGGCACACCCCTCACACGGATCGTGGCCACATAGGGAGCTCCACCGAAGGCCCCAGCGGCAGATGTTGCATGCGCCCCCCCCCGCCCATTTCGGCACACCCATCACGAGGATCGTGGCCCCATGGGGAGCTCCACCGAAGGCCCCAGCGGCAGGGTTTGCATGCGTCCCCCCGCCCATGTCGGCACACCCTTCCCGAGGATCGTGGCCCCATAGGGAGCTCCACCGAAGGCCCCAGCGGCAGGGTTTGCATGCGTCTCCCGCCCATTTCGGCACACCCCTCACGAGGATCGTGGCCCCATATGGGGGTTCCACCGAGAGCGGTACCCACAACGCCCTACTCACAGCTGCATATGGTTGGGTCCCTCGCCAGGACCATTTCATGACGTCGACCCCGGGAGGCCTCGACATACTCCTCGGGACCGGTTTTCGCCCCGAGTCGTTTTTGTTTGACGATTCCGAGGCCCGGCCAGGGCCCCCAGAGGCCGAACGTGGCGAAAAACTTCGCGCCGTGATTTTTGTCAATGCTCGAGGGGGTTTGGTCTCAGGAGGGGAAAAAACACACATACACAAGTCATCGTCGATTCCCAGGCAAATATGGAAAATTTGGAAGTGGGGGGGAGGACAAAAACCTGGAAAATATAGGAAAATACGGGGAATAGCTTTGTGTGTTTGTGGGCCCCTTCATGGTCGCGTGGCGCCCTGAAGACCCCCCGTGGCGCGGACGGCGGCGCGCAGGGCGTCCGCCGACCATGGCCGCCCGGTCTCGGCGGCGACGGCGGGCGCGAGGAGCTCCTCGCCTTGCGGGGTCGGCGGGCCGCCGCGCGGCGCGCGGCGAGGGCGTCGTCGCCGTCGCCGTCGTCGTCGCCGTCGCCGTCGTCGCCGTCGCCGTCGTCGCTTCGCTCGTCGAGGTCGCCGTAGGCTTCGTCGTGGTCGCGGTCGTCGTGGTGGGTCGTCGTCGTCGTCGTTGTCGTCGTCGTCGTCGTCGTGGTCGTGGTCGTGGTCGTCGTCGCTCTCTTCCTCGTCCTTGCCCTCCCCTTCTCCTCATCCATCCTTGCCCTCGTCCTCCTCCGCCTCCTCCAGCTCCCCCCTTTTCCAATACACCACCAATCAGTAACCTCCTGGAGCCTTGTGATATCCGGCATCCATTTGGATGAGAAACCTCGATCCCTCGAGACCCCCTGGACCTCCTCACTCGCGTCCTTCTCCTCCTACCCGCGGTCCTCCTCCTCCTCCTCCTCCTCCTCCTCCTCCCCCTTCTCCTTTATGTCCCTCCTCCTCCTCCTCATCCTCCACTACCTCCTTATAGCAAGGACTGCGCGCGGGCGGCTTGCTTGGGAACGGACTAGATGAAGCGGCACTATAGGTTGAATCTTGATGGGGGAGGCGTGGTGGAGACGGTCAGGTCCAGAAGCGCAAAACAAGGATGAGGTCGAGAGGAACTGGGAGGAGGAGCGTGATGCCCTGGATTGCCACCGAAGAGATCGGAATAATCCCACCAGCCCTTTAGGTCGTGCGTGGTTTAACAAGTTTCATCGTTCCCCCCCCTTCTTCCCCTTCGGGGAGCGGTTTACCGCATGGTGGGGACCGACATGTTTCCCGATGTGTGCTGTCACGTGCGCAGGCCCACTTGACACACTCTGCACGTGCCCCGAACGTGGTGCACCTGGCGCGGCTGGAGAATGCGGCACACCTGGCGCACGTGGAACACGTAGCGCATCTGGCGCACCAGGCGTGCGTGGCACGTTCGGGCCCCAGGGGTGCTTGGCGCGCGTGGCGCGCCTTGCACGCGTGGCGCACCTCACCCCAGAGTCGCGCACATGGGGCCGGTTTTAGTTCCCAGTAGCTGCCCATCCAAAGACGACCGCTGAACATGCTGAGGCTCGGATGTTACTTATGCGTTGGGAGGGCGGGTGGGCGTGAGCTACACGGCTCGCTATAAGGGAGAGTGCCTTGACCCCTCCCCCTACCCCGGTCCCCTGGGTATGGAGGGGGAGGGGGGTCGGCGGATCGTTGGAGCGTCCAAGATGGCGGAAGATAGCTGCCAACGGGCCTCCGAGAGTCCAAGATGCCCTCCAAGATGCAAGATCGCTCGAGATGGCTTCCAACATGCTCCAAGAGACCTCAATACCAGAGGCCTCGAAGCCTGCCAATGATGCCCCCAAGAGGCCAACACTCTTCAACAACTTCAAAAACAGATAGAAGATTTTAGCATTCTCGCACTTTCACTTCGGATGGGCCCCCGAGGCCTCAACATGGCTCCAATAGGGCCCAAGATGGCCCCAGAAGGGGCCCAATATGGGATGGCCCCAAGAGCGCCCCAAGAACGCTCCAGGAGGGCCCCAATAGTTGGCTTTGGGAACTCCAGAGGGGACCCCTTCTTTGATCAACCAACGCGTCGCACCAAAACACAAGAGTTTTGACAGATGCTGGCTTTTCGTAACTTTTCGGAGGACGTTGGCCCATGGGGACTCCGAGGTGGCCCCAGACTCTTACGATGGCCTCCAACATGCCGCAGTGTGGCCCAACTTGGCCCACGATGGCTTCCAAGATACCTCCGGAGAGGCCCCATGATTGCCCCAGGATGGCTCCTAGTGGACGGAGACTTCCAAGGAGGCCCCAAGATACAAAAATCCGTCCAAAACCGACGGGGATCAATGACGTGGCCCCCTCGCCCCTTCGCTTCCGATGGGTCCCAAGAGAGACCCAGGATGGCCGCAAACTGGCCCCAAGATCGCCCAAGACGGCCCTCAGAGGGCCCTGCAGAGGGGCTCCAGTTTCCGCTTCGGATTCAATATTGGGTCTTGTGGCAGTGAACATCACGCACGCGCACATCACACACCCACGCAGACACAGACACACACGGACACGCACGGTGTTAACATTCTAAAGAACCGAGCGGATGTAAAATTCTAGGGACGCCACTCCTGTTCCGATCGCCAAAGGGCGCGGGTGGCCGCGAAAAGACCTTGTTTCCCCTGGTTGATACTATCAAAGCGTCACTGGGGACGTTTGAATCATCTTCGCCCTAACAAGACCCACATGTTTTTAGGGTTCCAAAACCCTGAACCACTCCAAAACAGCCAGAATGATCATTGGATCACAACGGAATCACACTTGAATCACTCCTGAATCATCCGTTCCTGGAGCCCCAAAAAAACACGCGCGGGAAGCCCTCGGGAGGCTTCCGCTTATTTTCACGTTTTTCCACAAGCCTGCCAGCTTCACTCGCACATTGTCCAGATCATCGTGGGCTCACTGCTGCAACGCACCTCCATGATTCCTGCATCATCCGTTCTG